TCACGATAACCGAATCAATAAATATATATATACCGCTGCGGCGTGCAGCCCGATCCATATATCGTTGTGGCGTACAGCCCGATCCATAATAATAATAGTCGACTGCGCTCACTGGGGGTGTGCAGACTCCGGAGGGGCTCCTTCTGCCCAAGCGCTATATAATTGATGCGGCGTGGAGCCCGATCCATATAAGTAATTGCTGTGGCGTGCAGCCCGATCCATATCATATAAAATATCCTCACTATTGGGTCCTCGACCCCTCTCAGTCATTTAAAAATCACAGCCTCTCGGGCATAATGTACGGTCGGGATCTCAGCCCTCGTATCTCTTTCTATTTATGATTAACATTTCAAAAATCTGGTTCATATCATTCTTAAACAATTGGAAACATCACTGAGGATATAAATTCTTTAACAAAATAAGTGAGGAAAACCAGTCAAAAATCCTCTAAGGGTTCTGCAGGTCGGCACAAGGCCCCAAGCATGGCAACAAGTCCAATTCACAATGATAAAGTATATGTCTCTATAAAAAATGTAGTAAAATATCATTCGGGATGGACCAAGTCACAATCCCCATAGCATTGAACCTCACGCTCGTCATACAACGTGTACCTCAACTTAGTATAGCACTACGTTGTGCAAATCCGGGGTTTTAAACCCTCAGGACATCATTTAAAATCATTACTCACCTCAAACTGGCCAAAACTCTAGCTCGCTTGCCCTTGCCTCTCAAATTGGCCTCCACGCACGTCAAATCTATCCAAAATCAGAACGAATAGGTCACAATATGGTAAGGAAACATAGCCCAAGCGAAAACATTCGAAAAATATCAAAAATCCCGAAATTAGCAAAACCCGAGCCCCGGGCCCACGTCTCGGAATCGAGTAAATTTTATATTTTCAGAATCCTCATACCCTCACGAGTCTAACCATACCAAAATTATCCAATTCCGATACCTTTTGGTCCTTCAACTCATCATTTTACATTTTTGAAAGGTTTCACAATTTTCTTCCCAAATTCCATCCCAAATCACGAATTAAATGATGAATTCAATGATGGATTCATGTATTCTAGTCAAATCTGAGTTAAAATCACTTACCCCGATGAATTTCTTGAAAAACCTTCAAAAAATCGCCAAAATCCGACCTCTCTAGGTCAAAATATTAAATAAAAACCCAAAACCTCGTATTTATAGGTACCCCCTCAGATTTTAGCTACCGCGGGCCGCACCAAATCGACCGCGGTCCGCACAAGCCGGTGCGATCCGCGCAAAAACGACCACGGCCGAACATGCCTCCCTCTGTGCAATATCTTTACCTTTATGGAAACTAGACACGAAGGCTACAACTTTCATTTTTGAATCACCTCAAAATTCCTTGTAAATCAAAAGATATGAGCGTCCGAAGTTGGACCAGCGGGAAGGTTCTTCACTGCGGCCGCGCTCGCTTTTGTGCAGTCCGCACAACACTCACCGCAGGCGCACTCATTTTTGTGCGGACCGCGTGGGTGAGTTCCGGGGCCTGCAACCCTCCTGGACCTGCTACAACTATGATTTTCGGCCTAAAACATCTCGGAACCTACCCGGGACCCCCGAAACTTCAAACTAATTGTACCAACACATCCCATGACATCGTTCAAACTTGTTCAACATTTCGAAACGCTTCCAACAACATCAAATCACCAATTTAACATAGGATTCAAGCCTAAGAACTCCAAGAACTCTTAAATTATGCTTTCGATCAAAAGGTCTGTCAAATCTCGTCCGAATGACCTGAAATTTTGCACACACATCCCAAATGACACAACGAAGCTATTACAACTCTCGGAATTCCATTCCGACCCCTATATCAAAATCTCGCCTATCAACCGGAATTTGCCAAGATATCAATTTCGCCAATTCAAGCCTAAATCTTCTCTACAACTCCAAAACCCATTCCGATCGCGCTCCTAAGTCACAAATCACCTACTGAAGCTAACCGAGTCATCGGAACTCATATCCGAGCCCTCTAACACATAAGTCAACATCCGGTTTACTTTTCTAACTTAAGCATTCTTAAAAGAGACTAAGTGTCTCATTCCTTACCAAAATCCTCTCCGAACTCAAACTAACAACCCAATCACATAAAACACGGATGATGAAGCGTAAAGAAGCTGAAATGGGGAAACCAGAGCGGTAACTCATGATATAACTGGCCGGGTCGTCACATCCTCCCCAACTTAATCAAACGTTCGTCCTCGAACGAGTCAAGAAACATACCTGAAGCCTCGAATAGGTGAGGATATCTGCTCCGCATATCCCGCTCGGTCTCCCAGATAGCCTCCTCCACGGGCCGACCTCTCCACTGCACTTTCACTGAAGCTATATCCTTTGACCTCAACTTCCGAACCTGACGATCCAAAATAGCTATTGGCTCCACATCAAAGGTCAAATCATCATCCAACTGAACCGTGCTGAAGTCCAAAACATGAGACGGATCCCCAACATACTTCCGGAGCATAGACGCATGGAATACCGGATGCACACTCGACAGGGTGGGTGGCAAGGCCATCATATAAGCCACCTCCCCTATCCTCTTAAGTACCTCAAATGGTCCAATGAACCGCGAGCTCCATCACGGCTGGGGCTGGGGTCCAATGAACCAAGAATAACTTAGACACAGTACCTAACAGAGTGTGCCTTTAATTGTTGTTTTCATTAGCGACAATGATGATGAGAAGGCAATGACATGTGTTTCAAACAGTGATGGTGTAGGTAGGAATTTAACATTTCCTAAGTAGATAAAAGAAGAGGTTATAGAGGAATTCTCTACTTCATTTTCCAAAAAGAAAAGAAGTTTAATTGAGAGTGACAAGGTTGATGGTAATGGAAAGAATTGGACTATGAACCTTGTCACTTTCAATTAAACTTCTTTTCCTCTTGAAAAATGAAGTAGAGAATTCCTCTATAACCTCTTATTTTATCTGCTTAGGAAATGTTAAATTCCTACCTATACAATCACTGTTTGAAACACATGCCATTGCCTTCTCATCATTATTGTCGCTAATGAGAACAACAATTGATCAAAGACACACCCTGTCGGGTACTTTATCCAAGTTATTCTCTGTATCCAAGTTCATCCCGAGTAATAGTACCACGAGGATAATCACCAAAGCCACCAGACAACTTTATGATGCCAATGAAGCAAGATGAGCTATTCAATGAGACTCATATTGTAAAGAAGAAGAAAGAGACTGATCCAGAAAGGTGGGTCGAGGGTCGAGCCTCGACTATACATGTAAGTTTTTTTACTTTTCATTAAGTATTTTGATTTACTTTTATATAAATTTTGAAATACTAATTCAATATAATTTTTCTTATAGGTTCGTTTCACAGCTGATGTGGGGGAATTCATACGCAGTCAGCCACCTAATGAGTCGGGCGAGGCAATCCAACTTTCGGACGAGGATGCTGGAAGAACACTCATTGAGTACTTTATATACTTTGAACTAGACAATAGAACCAGTTTTCGAATGGGCTTGTAATAAACGTTAACTTAGTTTTGTTAGCTTAATGTGTTAGTTCTATTGAACTTTATACTTTGTTGCTTTTTATTGTTGTTGTTATTTATTGTTGTTGTTGGCATAAAATGTCTGTTTAGGATTTTTGGTAAGCTGGCAGGTGGTCTAGCTGCCAAAACAGGCAGTTTCTGCCAAAAATATACCAAGAAAAGCGACCAACTTTGGTCGCTAGTTGGTCGCTTTTCCCTTAAAAAAAAAATAATTTTCTGGGCAATAGCGACCATCCTTGGTCGCTATTTAACCCAGATTTCTCAAAAGCGACCAACTTTGGTCTCTATTCCATTTAAAAAAAAAAATTCTGGAACTATAGCAACCAAAGTTGGTCGCTTATAATTAAAAAAAAAATTATTTCTTGAAGTTAGCGACCAACTGTGGTCGCTATATTTCCAGAAAATTAAAAAAATTAATAAAAAAGCGACCAATCTTGGTCTCTATTTTCCAAATTTTAAAATATAATATTTGGATTAGAGACCAAAGTTGGTCGCTTTTTTATGATTAATAATAAATAAAAAAAAATGTATTTTACATTTAGAGACCAACTTTGGTCGCCAAAATTATATTATTAAAATAATAAAGCGACCAAAGTTGGTCGCTATAGTCTTTACCCGGAATATTTGGTCCTTTTACCTTAGAGACCAAAGTTGGTCACTAATTAGCGACCAACTTTGGTCCCTAAAATAAAGGGACCAGCAATATTGCGACCAGGCATGTTTGGTCGCTTTTTGTGGTCGTTTTTTACCGGATTTCTAGTAGTGAGTAAAATAAAAGGGGACATACAAGTATTTGGATAAATCAAACTCTCACCTCCGTCAACAGCTATGATGCAATCACAAGGGCAGAAATCCAAATAGTATAATATGAACGACATTGGGAAAATAGAGGAAGATGAATTCTAATGACTAACCAATTCAAATGTGGAGGAGAACGAAGCCAGCCGAATAGTTTGTTGATCCGCTAAAAATTAACCCTAGAAGCTCGAAAAGACAGATGCGGAGAAGAAGAAGAAGTTGATCTGCCAAAAATTAACCTAGATGCTGTGGCAGCTTCAAAAAGCTGCAGTGAATGTGTGGCGTGTAAAATGAGGCGCCCCTACTCTTTCGCATAGCTTGAAAGAAACGAAACACTGAAATTATAAAAAAACCCTTTTAAGTTAACAGGTAAGCATACATGTTGATCCCAACTCCTCCCTCAAAATGTGGTTTATTAATAGTAGGAATAAACCACAGCACTAAATTAGAACAACGACTAAACATTAGCTCAATTCCCACTACCACCTGTAAATTCAACTCCGAAAATTCTCATCGGAGACGCAGAATAATTTTTTAGTCCTAGGGTTTGCTAATCACTTTGTCATCGCCGGCTATGGCGTTACAAACCGGAATAGGCTTAGGCAGAATCATCTTCATTGTCGGTGCTGGTATGCAAACTATTCCCTTTTGAGTTGTTCTAAGTAAAATTTCAATTTCGATTATCTTCTTTTTAGCGATTTTTGCTAGTTTGATCTGATCGTATGTATATATTCCTTATGTGTAGGGTATACTGGTACTGTGCTGTTCCAAAACGGTAAATTATCTGATGTATTAGGCGAGCTTCAGGTACTTGCGTTCACCTTTTTATTAGTGTTTTTCGCCAAAATTGAGTTAGTTTTATCTGTGCCTAAGTTAGTATTTTTGAATTTCTGTTAAAAGAGACGTTTTTTTAGTTATGCTCTCAACTGAGCTTGAATTAGGTAGTCTAGGTGTAATAAGTATCTCCTAGGTGTATAATGCTTCTACTTCGAGCACTGAATTATATATGGTGGATGCTGAAATTTGGAAGTGAATGAGATAATTCTTAATGACTGTGTTGTCACTGATTGAATTAGTTTTAGCTTCGAATTCATGCTGTTAATGGAAAAAGTACTATTGTTTATGCATGTTTGTTGCTCGAAACAGGTAATCTAGATTGTAATGACTTAGTATAATGCTTCAATTACTAGCACAGGAGAGTAACTTAGCGTGAATGCTGAAATTTCAATGTAACAGGGAGAAGAATGCTTAAGAACTACCTATCAGAAAAATAATGCTTAGGAACTATTTGTGTACATATACATGATACATGATCAACTCACCTTGTTTACAAAGGGTTTTTGCAGGATATGATTTTATTTGAATATTTTTTTTGCTAGATCCTTTTATGACCTGTAACTAACAAGAAGGATGTAGTTGTCAAATTTTAAAACCAATTTCCTGTTTCTTTTATGTTTTCCGCATTTAGTATTTGAATGCTTTAAGTGATTCTTTCCCAATCTTTTTGACAGAACTTGATAAAAAATTATGAAAAATCAGGGGAGACAGATGCTGGAGATTCAGATGTTATGGCTGCACAGGTACCTTGATCGTAAAAAGTAGCTTAAGTATACATATGAAAGTTCAGTTTTGTCATTGAATTTTTTTGATCTACTGCCAATGTGGTTTTATATGCAAAATCTACCTGTTTATCTATCCGCGAAAGTTTCCAGTCCTATAAATAGGCCGTATACATAGACGGCCCCTTAAACTAGTCCTGATTTTTCATCTAGACGCCGAAACTAAGCATATGATGCATGGACACTTGAACTATGCCCAAACTATACCAATTAGGCACGAAATGCTGACATGGCAGGTGTGTGCTTCTTACTCAAAATTAAGTGCGTGGAATGACTGTATATATTAAGCTGCAACAAAGTGTTTGCCGGAAAACATAAAACTTCACCTGAAAAGGAATTTGGTCGTTTTGGTTCTATTCCCTTCTTTCTCCAAATTCATGTTTTTTCTGCAATTTCTTTAGCCACATTTTCAAACCAATAATTCTGCTTCTTGAACAACACTCATTTCAGTTACTTTCCGGTCACTCTGCCATTTTGTTTTAGCAACAATCTAGAATAAATGGCCATCACAAAAGCAATGCATCAATGTTTAACTAGCAAGGAAATATACATTACTCCCTCTGTTCACTTTTACTTATTCATGTCCAAGGGCGGATCTATGTAGAGCAGAAGGAGTGGTATGCCACCCGCATGCTGGGTAAAAATTTCAAGTGTACAGTACTATCTTGAGGAAAAACATATAAATATACGGCGTGGCACCCGGAGTAACTAAATGATTGGAGGTGCCATGGTCAGGGACACACCATTCAACTTTGTGTTTCCTCTTGGCGCTACTTTCCTTTTTCCATTTTTTCCACTTCTTCTCTTTTTCTTAATTTCTTTTATTTTCTTCATCTTTGTATTTCCTCTCTTTGTACAACACCATTTTTGTTATACTTTTAATTATATATTTGCTTTCGTTTTCCTTTTCTAGACCTAAAAATTCTTATTTGAATATGACTTTAATCATATTTCTTTTTTATCATCTAATGTTAGTTTTCGATTGATTTCAAATAAAGGAAAAAACATCTTCAATTTGGTTATCGTGTATTTAATTATGCACCAAAAATCTTGTGGAACGAAAAAATAATTTAAAATAGACCCGAACCGAATTAATTCAAGAAAGAGCAAACCGGCTAAATGTATATTCTAATTCAGTTTCCTTTGCTAATGGTAGATTTGCATTAAATATAGTGGCACCCGTAGCTATCAAATTCTGGATCCGCCTCTGTTCATGTCACTTACGTTGCACTTCAGTGTAGGCAAGGCACTAAGGCCTGCACCTCATTGCCAATAAGTTCTATCTTAAATAAAGCGGTGCAAAACAATAATTATAATTGGCAAAAAATATATCAATTATTAAGGAAATCATTATGAATGAAATTCTTAATTTTTTCTTATATTGCATATATGTTTTTATTTTTTCCTTCGTTGTGCAATTTTTAGCTAAAGCCCACACTTTAATTGCACTTTGCGCTTGAAGCCCCGATAGATCTGGAGCCCTTTTTAACACTTTTTGCCTTTGACAATACCAATTCATTTATTATTTTTTAAGGGGACTGTAAAGTCTATTGTGGACAAGTAAAAGTAAACCGATAATGCATAATAATTCAAAATTTTAACAACATCCAATCTCAAAACTCTGGAATACTAGCATGCTGCACGTGCGCTCTTCATAACTTTCCCGGAACTCCAAATTGTCACTGGGAAGTGCAAGGGTATTATGGTCGCTAGAGGAAAGATGTTCACCGAGCATAGCACAAAAATTTTACCTGCCATTTTTTGCCATTTTAAAAGCCATTTCAGCCAATTTATGTTTCCAAACAAAGTGGGTCTACGATATATTGCTGCTCTGCATTTCCACACAAGGTGGGTATTTTGCCAAGAAAATTTCCAGTGGTCTCCTATTCATGTTTCCCACTTTCTCTTCATTTTACATATATATATTTTGCAACTAATGAAGTAAAAAGATGTGTTCCATCATTTCTGGTCTTCTTTCCGTTAAGTTCGGCCAGCTTCGAAGTAGGAGATGAAGAGTTTTTTTCCTTACGTGTTTTTGCTTCTCTTCGCTGATGTGTGTCTTTTTTTATTGGTTCTTCTGCTACGTAATCTCGAGTTGAACTCCACGCGCTTGAAAATTTCATTTGCTTGTGCCTCAAGTATCTAATAGGCACAACTTAAGCATAGTTGAAGTGTTCAATAAGTCATATGCTTAGTTTAGGTGTCTACATGAAAAATCAGGACACATTTAAGGGGCTGTCTATGTATTTGGCCTTTTAAATTTCCTTTTCATAGAATAACAAAATCATTCTTTTTATAACCGTATGTTTGGGCCAGCTTGCACACATCTCGGCTAATTCCAGTGGGTACATCCTACCTCCCACTAGAGGTACCTGGTAATCCCTTCCACCAAAACTTGGACAAATGTGAAGAAATCACCTAGTGTTTTTGTCTCCGTCGGTCTTGAACCCAAGACTTTATTGCTCTCAACGTACTTTATTGATCACGAGGCCACACCTTTGGGTGTAGTAAAAACATTATTTTTAGCACTACCTTATAGAGTTAACATTGATGAAGTACTGGTATTTCATAATATGGATAATTTCCTTTTTTTTTTGAATAAGGTAATAAGATTTCATTAGTGAAAGGCATAAATACCCGTATACAAGAAGCATACCCAAATATAGAGGAACCTCACAAAAAAAGATGGTTCTCTACAAAAGGCACCCAATCTTCTGTGCTTAAAGGAATCTCATGGGTGCACCAAAACATAATAAGGGAAAAGAGGCTACTCCTTGAATGTAAAAGTCCTTCTCTATTACATCAAAAGCTCTTCTATTTCTCTCTCTATAAATGGTCCACATGAGTGCAAGTGGAGCGACATCCCAAGCCTTGCATCTTCTCCTCCTCCTGAATGTTGAATGTCCAACTGAACATTACTTCTTTAATCGTGCCTGGCATCATCGCTGAAGTCCAACCCAATCCAACACTTCACACAAGCGAGATGCAATATGACAATGTAAAAGAAGGTAATCTACTTCTTCATCTGAGCGCTTATACATGAAGCTGCAACTGATACATGTAACTCTCCTCTTCCTGAAATTCTTGTTCGGTAGACTCACCTCGTTTATAGCTAACCATGTAAAGAAACACAACTTTCTCGGTACTTGGGGTATAGGGAAAGGCTAGCTCTATCTAGTAATAAACCATAGTAGGACTTTTTAGAAAAATACACCGCTATCCCCCCCTGCCCCCCCCTCAAATCTCTAAACATCATGGCTAATCCATGAAATATTCTGCTTGTGGAGCAACTATCAAACTCTGGAACTCAACAATCTTCCAATCTTCTAAATTTCTTCTAAATCTCAAACCTTAATGTGTGTCTCTATCTTGAATCCTCCGTATGCTTTGAATTGCCATCTTCTCTTGGCATGAAATCCTGTGCATATTAGGAAAATTGATACTTAAAATGTTACTTTCACATCGTTTGTTTCTCGAAAGCTTACTTTGCTCTCATTATGTCATGCTCCAAAATTGGGGTTTTTGGAGCAGGATATGATGGGGACCTGAGCTACTCGTCGAGTGAACCCTGAACTAGTTTGTGCTAAATGTACTTTAACATGGAAATGAACATCATTAATACCGTCAAGAGAAATAAAACTGAAATAGCTGAAATTGAACTAAATCAATTATATAATAATAAAGTACATGAGTCTAACGTGACACTAGGTCAAGAGTCGAGGCTGGTAAGCTGCCAAACAAAAAGTACATGAGTCTAACGTGGCTAAATTGTGAACTATAACCTCACTGAATAAAGTCATGAGCCTTTAAGGACTTATTATACATGATCTATGGGGGTTTCCACATGAAATAATATAAAAGTTTAATATTAATAAAACCTTGCGAAGAGATCTGTTATCACTGGAATAAATCAACGGAGCTTGTGAATTGAATCTAGAATACTTGCCTCTAGCCACGAGCTTCATCATCACCTGCACACTTAACGCCTGCTACACGACATGGCATGCCTTAATGGGCTAAGTATCTCCGAGGGTACCTAGTAAGTCTTGTTTACCACCCCCTAAGCGAGCACAAGACTTTTCTGGGCTAAACAGTTATAATAAAGATGCAATAAATATAACTTAAGCAATTTAATATGTATTAGAAATATGAAAGCTGAACTGTAACATGAAATCTGAAAGCTCAACTGTTACATGAAATTTAAATTAAGTTATAATAATTAAATATAGCTAAGTTTCTTATTTTGAAAATTTTATCTAACAATGGTGTCTGTGAGTGTGAGGATGGCTGTGCCAATCCCCGGCCCTTGCGACTTTTACACTCAGGGAGGTTGACTACTTCTCCCAAACACATAAATCTGAATAAATAATGGCACTTGCTGTTTAACCTAAAAATTGATTATTAGAGTAATTAATTAAATTTACAGAAATTAGGTCGCAAGAAACTGGCACAATCCAATTAGATTGGCTATAGTTAATAAAAAATAAACAAATGAGACAAATTACTATAAAAGAAAGCAATGTAAAAGCAATAAAGAAAGAATGAAGTAGATGAGATTCTTATTCCATGATTCTTGACGGAAAGGAATTGTAGAGCAAGATTAGTTAACAATGTTTATAAGCTCATCAGGTTAGTAAATTATCTAGAGTTTTTTCTATCTGAATCTTAATGAATCCAAGTGTAATAGAGTGGGAGTATTTATAGTACAAATTCCTAGTAACCGTTCCCCAGAATCACGCTCGTTGGTTTTGAGCATTATCTATCAAGCTCGCGCCTTACGCCGGTAGGCTTTTACACCTGGGGAGGTTGACAACTTCCCCCAAACACATAAATCTGAAGACGTGGAGTACATGCAATTGTGGGACAACTAGCCCCGACAACTATGGCCCTCACACTTGGGGAGGTTGGCTACTTCTCCCAAAACGCACGTGATCACATATATTTAATCTGTGATGAGTATGAATAAATGCAAGCAATGGCACAACAACAATCAAATCAAACAAGAGATTCAATTGCTTCTGAAATTTTGAGCTAGCTGAGTTATCAAGTATGGCAATTCAATTGCTATAAGAAAAGAAAATCTATATCATGAACTAATGATAACTTCATAGCATTTAATCAATCAACAGTTTTCAAACAAAAAGTTAAAGCATTTACACTTGGGAACAATCAGTCACCTTTTTATCAAATAAATTTTTTTATTAAACATTTTCTTATTAGGCCCTTGATTTAGGGAATGTAAACTTCACTTACCTCGAAACAATTGTCCAAGTTTTCTCTCAATAACTTCGCTTAGTCAACTCTTCGAAATCTACAACCTAGGGGTCAAAACCATTAACCCAAACTATTCATTCAACCCAATTCCTCCATCAAAGTATTATTTAGCCATCTAGGGCTTAAAGTTAGTTTTCACCTCCAACTCCATCACTTCTTGTGTTCTATAACTTAATATAGTCACACGATTCTAACTCTAGTGCTAGGTAGTAGTAGAATTCACCTTGAGGGACGTTCCCATGAAAACCCTAGGTTTTCCATCTCTTGAGTTCTTGAAGATGTTTCTTGAAATCTAGGGATTTGCCGAGTGATTTAATGTTAGGAGCATGATTAAATGTTGTAAATCTATGTATTTATCCAAGAATTACTCACCTTTGAGTGTGAGAGTTTGCGCAACTTCGTGCTTGCTATGCGGCAGAAGACTTAATGCTCAAAACCCTAAATACGAGCCTTTCTCGAAATTTGAAATTTATATCTACAGGTGATTGCGTCGTGGCCACGTGCTTCATAGCTCAGTTGTTTTTCTACACTTGACCACATTCAGATGGCATGGTGGTCGTTTATTGGAGCGAAACTTAGCTGTTTTCTACACTTGGCGTCTAATACGTTCCTCCATCTTTTTGGCCATTATACTCACAAAACTTGATTCCAAATAATTTAACATCTATTTAAGCACTTTTGCTAACTTAAGTCTTTGAAATAAATCTTACCATAAAAATTTCATTGTATGAACCCATAAAAAAAATTCATCGTATGAGTGTTAACTCAAGGCTTAAGGAACCATAATCGGGGCTTTACACATCACCCACCCCATGTGATTAAGTGAAACATTCCCAATAAACTCTTACAACCCTTCTAAAGTATTCCTCCGTAAACCGCGGTCATAGGGAAGTGTAATATTTTTAGTCCTCCATCCCCCTTCTGGAACCCCATATTTCTCCGCAATCACCTCTCTCCAAAGAGCATTTTCCTCTACTGAAAATTTCCATAACCACTTCCAACTTCCAAGTAATCCCTTGTTAAACACCCTTAGATCTCTAATCCCAAGCTCACCCCAACACTTTGGTGTTGTGACGATCTTCCAATTGACCAAATGAAACTTCCTTTCCCTGCTTGAAAAATCCCATAGAAATTCCCTCTGAAATTTTTCCAACTTCCCTGATAATAGTGGTTGGAGAGTTTAACAAGGACATGAAATACGTTGGAATGCTCAATAAAGTTCTCATCTTATGACTGTAGGGCATTTAGGTCTGTATAGATCTTGGATTCAGTGGTTAAACGATGGATGTAATGGTGTCATTGTTGTATGAGTTTATTTTATTAAGCTATATCAAATTGACTCAAGAGTTTTCCTTTCCTTCTCTCATTCTCTTTTTGCTTTTTCTTCATTTTTGGTGGATGCCAGTGGGGTCTACAGATTGTTGCTTAGGCCCGATGCGTTCCTTTTCCAATTTATTGTGTTAATATGTACCTTAATTTTTATTTTCGGATTCACTCCCCCAAAAAGAATTTGTCCATTGGCATTCCCAGATTAAATGTGGGTGTTGCGAGAGGCATATATATGAGTAATTTCACAATTTAAATGCCTAGATGGCATAGGGCCCCCTAGGCTTTGGTCTAGTGGTAAGAGCGCAACACATATTATGTGGGTTAGGCGCAAGTCATGGATTCGAATCTTGCCGCGGACAGAAGCTGATATTTAAGCCGAGAAGGTTAAAGGGCGGGCCCATTATACACCGTGTTCGTGCATAACTGGCCATCGGAGAATTCTCGATAATAAAAATAATGATTAGATGGTTAGGGTTTAACATTTCCCATCATCACACAAATCAACATGGAAATGCACCCAAAAAACAATTTGACTTATTAAAATCAATGTGGACTATATTTATGGGATTAAATTAGACATGGATTTATGACATAGAAAACAAAATCACGTGAAAAAATACTATTGTTTGAGATGGTGTGTAAGAGGTTTAGAAAAAATGAGCTTCGCCATGCCCCCGGGATTTCATTCAATGGCAAAGGTGGTACGACACTGGTCACAAGTCCTGCCGGTTGAACGCTTGAACCAAGTCTGGTATTAATTTAAGTGGAGAAGGATTGAGGAGCAGGCTTCTTATCTAAGTTTCAAATTTGGAATTGCAGATTTCTCTGTATTTAAAAAAAAGGAAAAATAAAGAAAATGAGAGCTAGTCCGTCATCCAATCCACCTCTCTAATTGAGTTTATTGTCTTTCACAGTGCCCCTTTTATTATTATTAGACAGGATAAAAGAATTATCAACCCCTGATTCTGTTGTGTATCAACCAACTCATTATAAATTAAATTATGAAATATCTCTATGTTACAATGCAACTTATGTTTATTGCTTTCTCTTTGTAGGTTTGTAGGCTGGCAATGGAGGTTCGACAATTGGCTTCTGCACGATCAATTACTGTTCTTAATGGAAATTCTACTGGTATCTTCCACCATTCTTGACTGAAGAGTTTCATGCTATGTTTTGCTTTATCTTTCCTTTGATTATGTAGAAGTTGTTTTCTATCAGCCAATGTGTGCTTACACGGGTTGCACCCTTTGTCGCCCTCTGTGTCTCAGGTAACTTGACATCTCTTATCGTGCCAACTGCTGCAGTAGGGGCGTTGGGTTATGGATATATGTGGTGGAAGGTAAAAAAAATTGTTTCTTAGATTCTCTATTTAAGTAATACCCTCTCTTTTGTTACTGATTTCTATTAGTGTGGAGATTACTCGAAGGAAGTCTGGGTGATTCATTATACTAAGGTGTACTAGAGGTATGTGTAGCATGACAGATGAAATTAAAATGCATGAGCGAGAAGGGCTTTCTCAAAAAAAAAAAAAAAAGTAAAATAAAATGGATGAGTGAGAACGAGTGAGTAACATGCTCATGTGTGTCTAGGTGGCGTGTCAGCTTGAAGTTGGTCCTCGTCTTAGGTACCAGCCCTTCTACAGAATATTAGGGGACAAAATGGGGGAAGAAACAAGCCCTCAACCGAAGGCCAAGCTTTTCTGCCTCTAGCTTTAGATGGCCATTGCATACTTGTTACGGTGAACAATGATCGATATCCCTAGTATTTAAAAAAGGAAAACATATTTTCAACTTTTCGTGTAATTCTTGCAGGGTTTATCATTCTCTGACCTTATGTATGTAACCAAAAAGAATATGACAAATGCCGTTTCAAATTTGACAAAGCACTTGGAGCATGTTTCTGAGGCGCTTGCTGTAAGTATCATCCCTTGCAAACAACCTCTGTTCTTAATTCCTTCTCTGCAATCTTGGCACTCCCATGTGCCTAACTAGCACACTAGTATTATGCAATTTTTTGCTTATAATAAATGCGGTGTTTCTGTTAAACATGTGAAGCTTGATGTTTGCAGCTTGTGTCAATAATAGTGTGCTATTAATGAATTTGCCCTAACCTCCCCAGCCCTCTTGGTAATAGGCCAGAAATATTTCCCATGTCGGTGAATGTGTTTGTATTCTCTGAATGTACATTACTACCAAGATTTATAGTTTGGTACTGTGGTGGTACCAGTGAGAGTCTCAACATGGTATGTGTGGGTTCAATTCTGATTATCCCCTTCCCCCTCCCCCTTAGTAATATTTTTTTTTATAAAAAGAAAGCAGTTATTTAAACAGCCTGAGAAAGAGTTGGGTATTTGGGTGTGATATATGTTTCTTGTTGGGTCTCGTAAGAGCGTATATCTTTACATGTATATTTATACTGTTAATAAAACCCATACCTCCCTAGAGCAACTCAATTGGTTTATCAATATGCACCTAATTGCAGTCCAGTTCAGTTTATGAAATAAAAATGAGTTATTCATTACCTAACCTAAAACATAATTCGCTGGGGTAAGACTTCTTTAGATTAGATGTCAACTAGGGCTGTGCATTTGGATCGGATATCCGAAATCCGATCCGATCCACTCTATTTCGGATTTTCGGATTTCAAATTTCGGATTTTCGGATTGGATACGGATTGTGTTTTATGAAATTTCGGATTTTCGGATTGGATTCGGATTGATATGATTTTAATCCGATCCGATCCGATATCCGAAATTATATGTACCTATATAAATACACACTAAAATTTTAGGGTTATGCTTATTTATTTTTCACACACCCCCTCACTCACTTAGATTTTTCCGCCTCTCTTGCACCTCTCTTCTCTTCAGTGAAGACTAAAAGAGTCTCAATGACTCAAACTTCCGATTTTACTTTGATTTTATGTCTCTTTCTTCCGCCTCTCTTCTCTTCTCTTCTGTCTTTTATGTCTATTTCATGTTCTATTCTTCAACTTTTGATTTTATTTTGATTTTTTTGTTTGTTTTGGTAGATGGAAGATGAGATAGAGACACCGAATGAACTTTAAATTGTTGAAAAATTTTGTGACAATCCGATCCGACAATCCGAAAAATTATCCGATCCAAAGTTTAAAATCCGATCCAATCCAATGTTAATTCGGATCGGATTCGGATTGCCCTTTTCAGAATCCGAAATCCGAAATCCGAATCCGAAATAGGCTAAATCCGATCCAATCCAATGTTAATTCGGATCGGATTCGGATTGCCCTTTTCAGAATCCGAAATCCGAATCCGAAATATGCTAAATCCGATCCAATCCGATCCGTGCACAACCCTAATGTCAACATTGAAAATCCTTGATTAAAATTTATTCTCAAGTAAAAGAGAATTTTAAAGACTTAAGATAGCAACAAGAACAACAACTACGCCTCGGTCCCAAACAAGTCAGGGTCAGCTAAACACTTAAGAATTAAGATAGCAGCTAGTAAAAAAATTATCGAAGTCACATTAATTACAGTTGAATTGGATTTAGATTTTAGACATAAAAGTTGCTACTGGGTGGACTTCTAGTAAATTGGCAGACAGTCACTTCCCCAAAGAAGTGGGGTGAACTTGGAGTAAAAGATCTTAGGGTATTCCACAGAGCTTTGTTGGGGAAATGGCTGTGGAGATTCGGAGTAGAAGAGCATGCTTTATGGAGGGAGATCATAGTAGAAAAGTACGATTCTACAGGAGGGGGTTGGAGGACCAAGGCAATCACAACACCTTTCGGGTGGCATGTGGAGGAGCATCATGAAGAATTGGGAAGCCTTCAGTGGCAACATCACTTACAAGGTGGGAGATGGAAGGAGAATCAGCTTTTGGAATCATAGGTGGTGTGGAGAAGATACTCTGAGGGTCTCCTTCCCCACGTCTTCAGAGTTTCAAACCAGAAGGAATTGATGGTCCAACAGATTCGTAAGGAGCATGAAGGGGGGGGGGGGTAGTATGGGACCTCTCATTTAGAAGGAACATGTAAGATTGGGAGATTGCGGAGCTCCAAGATTTGTTGACAATGCTATATGAGCAAGACAGGGCCTAGCCATCTTGTGATTCTTGGAGATGGGATTTGCTTGGCGATGGTTTGTTCACCATAAAGTCCTTTTATTAGACTATGTTGGTGAGAAAGGAGGCCACTTTTCCATACTCCTCGATCTGGATTCCTAAGGCACCCACGAAGGTGTGCTTTTTTTGCATGGCTAGCGGCGAGGGGAGTGATTTTGACTGCTGAAAATCTGCGAAAGAGAGGAATTACACTTATTAGTTGGTGCTACATGTGTAAAAGCTCAGGGGAAGAAGTTGATCATCTTTTGTTGCATTGCCCTGTGTCTTCGGCTTTGTGGAGGGCAATCCTGAATCTTTGTAGTGTTCAATGGGTGATGCCAAACACTGTAAATGAAATGTTATATAGCTGGGCTGGTTTCCGTAGAAGAAGAAAGCAAAAGGCGTGGAAGTTCGCCCCGTTAGCTCTCATGTAGATAGTTTGGGGGGAGAGAAATAGTCTCATGTAGATAGTTCGCCCCGTTAGCTCTCATGTAGATAGTTTGATGGGATTGAGCATCCTTTTTCACATCTTAAGAATAATCTTTTATCTTTGATCGCTTTTTGGTGCACTCATATAGCCCCTACTTGTATAGAAGATTGGACGTCTTTTGTAGAGAATCATGTTCTGATGTAAATTCTCTACTTTTTGGTATACTTCCTGTATACGGGAGTTCTCTCCCTTTTGATTTATATAATTTACCTTATAAAAAAAAAAATTGTGTTGCCACACTTGATCTACCAAATATTTTTGTATTATTCCCATAACAATGGGATGAAATTCATGATATGCTAGGGGATTAGCAAATCGTGGTAACTGTGGTCTCTCATTACAGAAAAAAGTATAAAACCTCAAAAGGTCCCCAGTTTAGTATTATAACTAGCTTGAATAGCGATTGTCTGAAAAAGTCTTTCTGATATGCTGCATTTTCCTATTCTTTTACCCATTTTAGCCTCCTGTTATTTACTTTTAACTATTAAAGCAATATTAGCTTTGAGTTTAGCAATTTATGATCAACAACAACTACTACACCTTGGTCCCAAGTTAATTGGGGTTAGCCATATGAATCCTAATTATTCACTTTGCTCCATTTGGATATGTTGCATTCCAAACTTCCAGTATTCAATAATTTGGGGTTCTCTACCACTATTGGTTCTTTTCATTTTCTTTTGAATAGCATCTTTTTTATCAAAAATTAAAGAGTTTTTTAAGACACGATACAAGTGTGCCATAATTTCTCTCATGAAAAAAAGAGAAAGAAGTGCCATAATTTCCCAAATCATAAGCAGAGGGGGAAAGTTTGAGGAAGAAAATCAAATTTTCATGTCACTGTTAGTTGGTTGTTTAGGACCTGATTACTTTTCTCCACAGAAATGAAACTGCGTGTCAGAAGTCTGCTATTAGACAACCGTATGATTCTTTCTTGAACCATAATTTTGTTGTGATTCCTATCAAGAATTTGCGCAAACAGACACTTTATGAAGATGTTTTTATGTGATGTGGGGTTATTTATGTCTACCTACGTCTGGTATCTCCATGATGCCTTCCTCATTATTCTGTTTCTCCTCTTGATCAGGCAACAAAGAAACATTTGACGCAGAGAATTCAGAATGTCGATGGGAAATTGGATGATCAAATGGAGATGTCAAAACTACTAAGGAATGAGGTGCAAATCTATTCTAACACCTCTTTGTCTTTATTTATGTTTGGGGTTTGTTTTCTCTGATCCACTGTCATAATCCTTAAATTTATACTTTCCTGGTTATACTATAACTTTGCAGTATAGCTGTCATAATCAGGTCAAATCCTGTTTTGCAACAGGTTAATGATGTGCGTGGTGATCTGTCACAAATTGGTTGTGATTTGGATGAATTACAGAGAATGGTTTCTGGTCTGGTAAGTTATGCTTTCTTATATCTTGTGTTCTCTTGTCGAAATTATTGTTCAGATGCTTTTGCAGACAGGCAGTGGCCAAGCTACCTTGGATGCTCTACGTCATTTTTGGTCAATTTTGTTGTATCTACTTTTAGTACACTGATCTCATCTTTAACTGTATCCGGATATGCAGGATGGCAAGTTAGTTTCCTTAGAAGGCAAACAGGTAAACTGAAAAAAGAATTCATTTCAGCCTTTCTTCTCAGCTACTAATTTTGTTTATTTACCTATTAAATACTAAGGGGAAAAATGTTTCTGATCGACTCATCTGGGGTTTGTAGCCTCTGCCTATTTGCAGTGTGCCATTAAGGTAATTTGTGCTAAGCATAGCTCTCATGGTTAATAACAGGACTTCGCAAATGCTGGTGTCATGTACCTGTGCAATATAGTCAATGGAAAAAGGGTGAAGATGCCTGATACACTTCAGGTTTGTACACCTTTTTTTTTTCTTTTTTTTTTCCTCCATGTACAACTATTGATGTTATCACAACTTGTCGATGTGATAACCTCTTCCACTTGAATAGTGTTTTATTCAGTTTTAGGCTTTCACACGCTAACATTTTGCATCTGTTCCCCTCTAAAAAGGGTGATATGGACGGGGTTGGGTCGCACGTGTGAAGCAAGTGGGATAAAGAATCTTTTTCTTTGTCCCCATGGATACAGCAATGCGATTTTAGACGAACCAAATCTAGCGATCAAAAAGTATTCTTTGTCAGGCAAGTGACAGGATGTGTGGTTCGTTTTTCTATGGACAATCCCTTTCGCTACATGATTTTTGGCATGATCAAAACTACCAAAGCGTTAGTTAACAGGTTTTGATTATATGCATCTGATTTTCACACTAGGGTGAAGGTAGGAACAGAGAGAAATTTTGTTTTCTCCCAGTAACTGGTATCTGTTCTTAACCTAGAAAAGGTGAAACACTAGTCTATTTGGCCAAAGTTACAGATAACAACAACAACAACAACAACATGTCGAATATGATTCCACATAGTGGGGGCTGAGGAGGGTAGTGTGTACGTAGACCTTACCGCTACCTTGGGGAGATAGAGAGGCTGTTTCCAATAGATCAAAATGGATATTCATGTATGAGGAGATTTTCGGTCTTTCATTCCTCTTGATCTAAGGTGCGAATTAAAACTTATAAGTGCCTAGCAAAGGCAATTAGTTAACGGGTTTTGAATTATATGCATCTGATTTTCACACTAGGGTGAAGGTAGGAACAGAGATTTTTTTTTTTCTCTCAGTAACTGGTATTTGTTCTTAACCTAGAAAAGGCGAAAACGCTAGTCTATTTGGCCAAAGTTGCAGATAACAATAATAACAACAACAACATGCCCAGTATAATTCCACCTAGTGGGGGCTGGGGAGGTTAGTGTGTACGCAGACCTTACCCCATTTCCAATAGATCAAAATGGATATTCATGTATAAGGAGATTTTCGGTCTTTCATTCCTCTTGATCTATGATGCGAATTAAAACTTATAAAAGAGCCTAGCAAAGGCAACATGTCTGATTTCAACCTCGTCGCATAATAGAAAGAAAAGGACCTTCCATTTGGGGGGGCATATACTTTTCTTGAATCTGCTTTAGCCGGAGAAGGAACACCAAACCTATTAAACTTTTCAAGTCATTCTAGTGTTCTATTTTTAAGATTGTGCAAGCAATTACCACACAAAGAAGATCTCTGGTTGTAGCCACTTTCAGCAGTAATCATCTTCAGGACAGTACATAGGACAAGATAAAGCTAAGTGGCACCTAGTAGGTGCAAAAGAGGCTGAGTGCTTCACCTTGCTGCAGTTCAGTTCAATCGCCAAGGTGTGAAGGCATCTGTGTCATCACCAATTGGCTCTGTCCTGAAGAGGCCGCATTAAGCAATAATTATTTCACTTCATTCCATCTAATTGTCTGCAATTATAGTTATTATTAGAGTTAAATACGTTAGACCCCCCTGTATTATGACTTGTAATGGGAGACACCCCCTTTATTTGAAACCAAACACTTAATACCTCTGTATTATAAAAACCTTAAAACTACTTAACGTCGTTAAAGCAATATACAAAAATGACTAAACTAACCCATAGATACCCTATGTTTATCTCAAATACGCTCAGTGCATATACAAAAATGACTAAACTAACCCATAGATACCCTATGTTTATCTCAAATACGCTCAGTGCATAACACTAGAATCAAATAGTCAATCATTTATAAATTGTATTATTATAATTCCGGGATCTCTACAACAAATAATCAATCATGTATAAGCTTCAAGTTTACGAACATTTTTCAACAGCAAAAAAGCAAGATTCGTTCAAATCAACGAAACACTAAAGGCAAGTGGAAAGTAATTGTATTTACAATCGTTATTCGGAAACAGAGCAATTGACCTGTATTTCTGCGGTTCATAACAATAAATTGAAATCGCGGTTGAGCACTCCTGTAACACCCGCTAAAAGTTAGTCATCACAAAACACAAAGTACAGAACTCAAAATCAAAACTGAAACAAACATTCCCTTAAAGTGAGTTTTTTAATGCTCGCCTGTTGAAAACAAATAGAGATCCTTCCACATCCTTCTGACTCTGCATAAACAATTCAATTACAAATTATATTAATAGAAAGAGCAAAATATAAATGAATAAATAAATTCAGGAAATTGAATTAGCTGTTATCGATATATTCTTAAATGGTAACATGAGCAGCAGTGATAAGATCTCCTTCCCTTTTTTCGGAAGAAAGGTGGGATCCGGACAAAATCGATGAAACGGAAGAAATCCGAGTGAATGGAAAGGACATGAAGAAAGGATCAATACACTGAAGAACTGTCAAGTTTAGAATTTCTTCTTTGTCTTCCCATTCATAACAATACATGAAAATAGAAGAGGAAAAGAATGCTCTAAGGATTTTGCTGGGAAGCATTTCTGTTACAGGAGTATAAATTGATGTGAAGCAAGGGTAATTTGTCTATGTATTAGTTGTTATATGAAAGAAATAAAAAAGAAAATGGATTCTTAAAGGAGTTAGTATTTGTGTAGGATTTTTATAATACAGGGGGATTAAGTGCTTGGTTTTAAAATATAGGGGTGTCTCCGTTTTCGGTCATAATACATGTATTTAACTCTTATTATTATTCAGCTTAATTTATGCGGGCGTGTGTGTATGTGTTTTTTTTTGTGAGTATCACCTTGGAGCTGACTATTGTTGTATCGTCTTTTCTTGTTTTGTGTATTTTATCCTTCACAGACCATTTTGTTTAATCTTATTAGATGCTCGTCTCTTAACCTGTATTTAATGCCTGCAGGAACAACTTAAAATTGTGGGCAACTCAACACCTAGTCTCATGGTACTTTTGCTAACTTCATTTTAATGTCTTTATTCAAGTATTTTGTCTTAATATCAGCCATATGCATGAAGTTGGCCTGTGATAGTGTGCATTATTTTCTTTTTAGTTCCAAAATGCTCATTGGATTTTGGCTCCTACATAAAGGAGAGTTTTTTTGTCAAAAATCTCGGAACACCAGAATAGTGTCAAAATCAAAGAATTGCTAAAGTTTTAAACGACATTGTTTATTGGTTGTAATATATGAACTACTTTGGGATGCCGCTGCCCGTATTGATATTTCTAATTGACACGATTCATTTTTGTTAAATAATTTTGAACAACTGTCTAATACATGCTTTGGTCGTGAATACAATGGCAATTTTTGCATGTCTGATACACTGTTTGGTCAAGTATGGTTTTACCATTCCGGAGCTCCGATTGGAAAAGATTGATTAACACACATACGATGCCTCCCTTTGTTAACTGAACTGCAGATTCCCTATTGGCTTTTATTGTCTGTTTCTTTACGTCTAATCATTGACATGGTGGTTTTATCAGTCCGGTTACAGTTGCAGGCATTTCACTGATGTCCCATAACTTTGTTACAGGGCCTTAAAGAACTTGCGGACTCTTTACCACAAGGAAATTCTAATAGGTATTTAACTGATGGCATTGCCCAAGATAATCCTGATAAGTTAAAAGATCCACCAAGAGGCTTAATGAGGTATGTTATTTAGCATGTTCAAACTTCCCCTTTCACTTGCTCTCCTCTATTTTGCTGTGGGTTAGCTGGGATTTAGTCATCGTGCTCCTTACTTTTTGTTGATTAGCAACTCTGCATGTTCAGAATTTCTTTTTTCCTTTTGAATTGTTTTGTGGTTGAAGTCATTATATATCCATGCAAACATGTGTTTCCTCTACTCCTGGAATGGCCCTGATTTTCTCCTTTTTTTTCTTTCTAACAGGACGGCTTCTACCAAGTGCTGATTCACCCGTATGAAAGGAAATATCATTTGGTTGTTTCTGTTTTTTCTTGGAGTATCAGGGCACCGCTGGGCTATTTTCTTTTTTTCTTGGGGGGGGGGGGGGGGTTTTTNTTCCTGGGGGGGGGGGGGAGATTTTTTGTTGAACGGCAGTCTCTTCAACTTCTGTTCCAGTTAATGGTACATATGGAGTCATCAAATGATGGAGCCTATATTTAGACCTCCACTGATATTTCATCTGTGCGCTCATATATACGTATTTTGTCTCAAATCACAACTGTATATGATTGAATAAAATACGTGCCACTGGATAGTAGGCACAGTGGTGATTAATTTGACAAAAGATGTCAGAAATTATTCTTGGTGTTTTCTTTTCTGTATAATGTTGAACCCTAGGAAGATTTTCAGATATCTTGATTAGGTCTTCAAGAAAGCAATCTTGTTATGTACCTCCCTCATAAAGCTGAATGCTAAATCTTAGTCTTGTGCTCGTTGTTCATGGTGTTGAGGAGGCAATTGGTGAGGTTTTTCGTTAAGCAACCTTAGATACAGTGGCTAGTTAAGGTTCCCTAAGCTGGGGTTGCGTAATTGATAGTCGTCTCTACTGTGAGTAATGCTGCTCGGTGGGCCGGGCCTGAACCGGACCGGACCGGGCCCGCGGTCCTAACGGNATATCACGTTACAAAGAGTGTATTTGCCACTATTTTTGTTTTATTGAACAAAATGTCTATTTTTATAAATAGTATTTTATTTATGGTGAATGTCTATCTTTTAGAGATTAGAGTTTATTATTGTTTACCCTAAAAATGGTAATAACAATTAAATTTGATTATGGGACTCTAAAAATACGTGATCTATTTTTATGCTAGTTATTAAGCAGATGATGCTATGTATGAGACTTAGAAACGAGATAAGAGTTAAGAATAAGGTGATAACCAAACCGATAGGTTAACAATCGGGGCCTCGAGCTTGTCGATTCGGGGGCCTTGAGGTCGATTCCGGAGCTCGCTTGGAGCTATCGAAGGTGGTTGGAGTATGACTAACAGTTATAGTAAAATCAACGAAGGTTCTTTATGGCCAATGATAAACAATAAATGATGAACAATAATGAAGATAATAAGTGGAAGCAATAATATCTAGAGAATACGTTAGAGAGCAGAGAGAATGTTCTTGTATATTTCGTGTGGAGCAACTGAAGCAACCATGCTTACAAAATGACAAGGATCCCCTTTATATAGGAGGAGAATCCCAACATAGTACAAAATACATTAATGACAAAGATATGGGGATGAGATAGCTAGATGACACCTTGATTCAGGGTTAGGGTAGTCCGCTAGGCTCTGTCAGTCCTAGCCGTGTACCTTGGGAACCCCCCATTTCTACCATAGCCGTGGTCAACATTGTCCCAAGGTTGGGCATCGGAGGAAACTCGACCATAGCCTTGTAGCCTCGAGATGATCTTTTGAAGTACCTCGATGACGAGGAATTGGACCCTTCGATTTCACCGTACACAGATAGTCCCCGCGTTTCTTAGAGAGGAGCGATAAGAACGATTTTGACATCCCACTCTTCGGACTTCCCGCGATGATGTCATACCGATGACGCAAGCCTCTGTGATAACCGAAATGTCCCGTCGTTTCACTTCTCCAGGATAATTCAAAGCATTACAGTTTCTCATTCTTCAAAGCTATAATGTCGCCACCGGTTCAGCTCCCAAGGACGTATTAAATGTGCCTGCCGTTACGTCTTTCGAGGGCAATAACGGCGTCGTCGGTTACGCTGCCTCCCTTTCTATAAATGGGAGCCTCCTAGGATCAACCTTTCACCCAAGTGTCTTCTCATATCTATCCATCCCTCTCTTCTCGCCATCTTTTTCCATTGTCGTTTACCATGTTTAAGGCCCATGGCCTCAAGATCATACGACGGCGTTTCTATCAGCCATGCCACGGCCTGTCTCCCGGACTTTCTTTTGTCGAGCGAGACTACACCGTTTTGTTGTTGTTGTTGTTGTCGTCGTCATTGGCTCGGACGACGAAGTAAGGGGTCGATTTCTCCTAGCTCGGGGAAATATTTGGACTCTATCGGCTACTGCCAATATCGAATCCAGATGCGAGTGTTTTTCCTGACCTTTGATTGATTAATACAGCTTCCTACGAAACCCTTTGCGGTCCCTTGGATCGAGCCTGGATTGGGCCGATAAAATCGGGTCGCCGGGACCCTTACTTCGAGTTGAAGGAAAGTAATGTTTTGAGCCTTGAGATCGTGATTTATCATTTAAATCTCGCGGTAATCTTTGAGGGGAGATTTGCTCGGAGGTCCGAAGGTAGGGACTACCTCTGAGCTTTCGAGAGCAGTCCCCGAGTGAGGGTTCGTTCAAACTCGGGCCACCTGGAAACCTGCTATGGACTTAGCGTAGATAACCCTTAGGCATTGTAGATAGATCCCGAACGAGGTTTTACCCGAATTTAGATGGTACCCCATGATCAAGCCCATCTGGGCGGAGTTTAAATACTTATTTCTTTAGAGCCTAACTCCTTTTTGACGGAGGTCCTCGAGGTCGGGTACCACCTCGAGACTTGTAATGACGTTATTGGCTTCCTGGAGCCTAACTCCTTTTTGACGGAGGTCCTCTAGGTCAGGTACCACCTCGAGACTGGCAATGATGCCATTGGCTTCTTAGAGCTTAACTTTTCTGTGCTGGAGGTCCTCGAGGTCGGGTGCCACCATGGGACTTGCGGTGATACGTGGATTTCCGTTCTTAAAACATTTCATGGCGTCGCATAATGTATGATATGGTTGCCAAGTTGTTGAGGCGATTTGGTGATATCGGTCAGTGTTTTTAATCGGCTTTGAGGTAGGCAGATCGTCGTCGTTTTTTCCATATACATATATAGGGTTGTTTCTGCTCTTTTGGAGATCCCACCATTTTAAGTAGTTGCCCTTCTTTATCTACGTTAAGCCTTTCATTATTTCAGTACTAACACACTTGCACAGATTCCTCCTTTAATTCTCTAATTTTGCCATAGCCATGGCTGCTACGTCGGGGTCTGTCTGGCAGAGAGGGGAGAGCTCCGCCTCCGGCATTCAGGACTAACGAGAGTATACCTTGAAGACTACTTCTTTGATAGGAGAAGAACATCTTGAGTTAGTGAGAAAAGACTGTGGATGGGGGGAGAAAGTAGTGTTACAAACATTTTCCCCGGATGAGGGCATCACGGATCGTGTTGATGGTTTTTTGAATGTGTACACGTATCCTTTCACACTGGGCCCCCTTGATAGGGTTGTGCTCGACTTCTGTTTAAAGTATCGGGTTACCCTGGTGCAGATCCACCCGTCATTTTGGCGAACAGTGTTGATGATGAGATTTTTCGCGGAGAAGGCGGGGCTTGAAATTACGTTCAGTCATCTTATTAGGATGTACGACCCTTTCACCATCGAGGTCTGCTAACCTTGCGATGCCGATCGACCACGCCCTTCGTTGTTGATGATGAGGAAGATGGAGACCGGGAGTGGATGAGTCTCTTTGTCCAAGTGCGTACCACTGACATTATCCCCATGGAGCTTATGCCATTCCCTGAGGAATGGAACTATACATGTAAGTGGTGCATTCCCTGGCTTCTCAGTTTTGTCTTTGGCGAAAGTTGGTTTCGTAACCGTGCCTTTTTTTCTTTTTCTGCAGCGGTTTCATGGGCGCCGGGCGACGTTCCTGATTTGCTGGATTGGGTTCGGAAGTCAGCGACCCACTCGACCTGTGATGAGCGCAAGTGGCGAGCTTTGTCCCGGTGCAGATGGGAAGCAAAACATCATGGTGCGTGTTGTGCTATTTTTTCCTTTCCCATCCTTCATTTGGAGAGGCATTTTCCCTTTATGCATATTAATTTTGCTGTTATAGGCATCGGAGAGCCTTCTGAGGAGAGGCCGCGCTCCTCTGGAGAGGGGGAAGGGTTGCCAGCTTCCGGGCTAAAGAACGACAACAATAAGCGAGAGATGCTTTTACAGGGCGATGACGCTCAAAGCAAGGCAAAACAGGATCGGGGCTTCGGAGCGGAAGCGTAGTCCGAGCCTGCCGTGTCCGTGGTTCCTGTTTCTGGAAAGATGGTTTCTCCGTTGCTGTCACCTTCTTTTTCCGTCGACAGTACTTCGAGGGATGTTAGAAACCCGGGATCACATACACCGAGTGACCGTGCCTCAACCTGAGTTGATCCTTTCAGAGCTGAAGGAACTGGGTTGGCAGATCTGCGCTCGGCCTTCGAGGAAGCCCAACGACTTCACTTCGTGGTGAGTTTCGGCACAAGCCTTTCGAGCTTCGCGCCTTCCCTTCCTTATTGGGTTTTCTTTTGCAAGCCTTCGACAAGCTTAAGTTCGGGCTGCTTTGTCGTGAAACCAGGCTGCGGAAAGCTCTAGATGAGGAGAGATCCCTTAGGATCCTTTGCGATGAAAAGGAAGTCAAGTTGGTACACTTGCAGTATGAGGTGAGCCGGAGCTTGAATTATGAGAACTACTTGAAGGAGCAGGTAATTTTCTGTCCCGGGTGAGCTTGCATTTTGCCTTCTAGCTTCTGAGGCTAACTCTTCGTTTATTTCAGTTGCAGAAAAAGATGGAGGCCCTGGAGCGCCTTCAGGATGAAGCTGGCCGAGCCAGGCGTGAGCATGATGAGCTAAAAGCTTGGGCGGAGGCTCAGGCTTTAGAGGGAAGGGTGCTCTGGCTAAAGTTCCCGCTTTTGAGGCTCAACTTCGCTTAGCTCGTGATAACGCTTCGGTTCAAACAGATATGATTACGAAGCTCGAGTTTGAGCTTTCAAAGGTCAAGGCTGAGATCATTAATGCCCGGGCTGAAGCCGTAATGTGCCGAGCTAAGGCTGACCAGGAGATGACGATCTATTTAAAGGACGCTACCGATGCTCAAGCTGAGCTGAGAAGGATCCTCGACCACGAAGAGAGGATTGAATAATATGCTCGTTGCAAGTCTCGAAGAAAGACCCTTGAGGAGATCCGTGCTAGGGGTTTCGTCCTCTCGGAAGAGTTGGCGCGAGCGAGGGCGGACGAGTGTGATGCTCGGTTACTTCTGTCCGACACCGAAGAAAGCAAAGATGAGGCCGGCAGGCAGT